ATTATATTACAGGTTTACAACCAGGGGATACATAACTAGCAGAGAGGCCATAACTAGTAGGGATGTGTAAGGTTACTTTTCATCGGATTAGTTGGCTTAATCATTCCAGGAAACACGGTTATTCCTGGACTTCTCGGTTTCCATTTCCTGCAACACTAAAAGTTTCACTGCAACCCTGTATACGCGCCCTCATTACGGAACGCGTTATAAATTACGTTCAATCTGCTATTTGGTTTTCCTATTTAATTGATAAGTACATAATTATCGACGATACGTGCGTCGTAAAGTAGCCCGAAACGATCGAATATCCAGAGATTTACGAAAATGATGGCAAACTTTCATCACCTATCGTTTCATTAGCGTTTCATCAGGTACCAGGAAGATCTTATTGTTGAATATTTATTTGCTAAATAAATACAGCAGAGTTTGGACCTAAGTATGTATTTCATTAATGTAGTTTTACAAAACGAAAATGCTGTTCCTAGCTTGACGGTTTTCTGCTAACTGAGCTTGAGGCTCGAAAAAAAAACGAGACGCTCAGGGGGTGCAATAAACGAGTGTCCTCCTCAAGTAGTACCGACCTTTGTAAGGGAGGAGACTGCACCAATGGATACAAATTTCCATTAAAAATACATGCATGCAATGCTTATTTTCAACACAAATTTTAAATCATGCAATTTATAAAAAACAGTACATTTACATTTGAATGATTCCTGACTCGCTCTCGGTGTTTATTTACCTATCATCAGCCTTGCATTAATACACAGTTATACTGTTGAAGTATCAAAAAAAAAAAAAAAAATAAAATAAAATGAAGACGCGTTGCAAATGTGCTCGAAGGGATGATCTTCTTGCGCACCGTGTGCTCGGGATATCGACACAAGATTTAAGCATCCGTGAGTAAAAAGGGAACGGAAGAGATGGGCGCGCGTGCAGAAGCAACGGGCCGTCCGGGGCGCAGTTTCAGGGGCCCGCGGAGTCCTGGTGGACGTGGTTTGGCGAGTCAGAAAGTATGACCGTGTTATTTGCATATATTGTCGGAAAGAAGAGGTGAAATTTATGCGGTTCGTTCCGCGAACGCTCTTTAAGCGCCTCCACTCGAGCCCCGTTTTCCGTGGCATCACCGCTTTCATTCTGCCTCGTACGTCACGAGGGTCCACTCGTGCGCAGCCAATTCAGTTAATTTCGTCTCGCGAGCCAAGAAGACGATTTCGCGCTGCTTGCCTTTCTGGATCGTGGCTTCCGCCTCCTCGAGTCGCCCGTTGCTCTTCCATCGTTCCCTCTCTGGTTCCCTTTTCTCCTTTTTCACGGTTGCCCCGGGTATTGTTCGGCGAAATTCATCTCCCGAGGTTCCCTTTCCGTCGGGATCATCGCGCCTCCGAAAGAGGGAATCTCGAAAGAGAAACAACCCGAGCGCGAGGGAACTGCGGCTGGGAGATAAAATTGCGGCTGACGGGGCACGCGACCCGCTTGTAAACGCTGACGGAAAGATTAACGCGCGGTCACTCGGACATTCGAGCGAATCAACCCATTAATTGTGCCTGCGAACGAAAGTTATGCTCCATTTTGGGGAGGTACTGCGGACGCAAGTGGAATGCACGTACTGCGAGCGACGGGTTGACTGAATGGGTGCTCGAGACAAGCACAGGCTGGATACAAACGAACCGAATCGTTTCGGAATTAAATATCCTTTTAACGGACTGGTTGAACCCGTAACAGAGAAACGACAGTTAATCGCGGGTCACCGATCTGGCTTCGAAGCAAACTCTGTTGGTTTGTGAAACAATTGACAAGATCATGATCGAATAACACTTTATTTGAACGTGTTACAAGACTGTACGAAGAAGTCGACAACGTGGACAGCACTTTTATAAAGCCTAAATGGCACCAATACAATGTCTATTGTATGATATCAGATGTCGCGATTAGCCTCGAATTGCCATATTCCAACAAAATCGATGGCTAGTAAAATTAGGATTATTTTTTTGTAAAAGATTTGATTAGTATATTCGTGAAAACATTGTGTCGTTCAGCGTCGCGGTACTGCACGGGAAATTATCGTGTCGCGTTCGTCTTTGTTATTTCGCTTTGAAACGCTCGGTTCTTTATGATCAGCCTGTATTTAATGAACAGCATTGAGCGGTCGAGTGACCATTTATGAGAACGAGTTTCAAAGAACTTCCTTAAGGAGAAATGCGGTTAATGTAACTCTCTAGGCGCGACGAGTGCATGTGTAAATGTATCTGTGAAAGGAGCATGATTAAGATAGGAATGATCGAGGAGTGCAATCAGAGTCAGAGAGGAAGTGGATTACTCTCTTTTGTCAAAGCAGACTTTTCTTCAAAGACCTTCCCTTTTACCGTGGATGGTCTTTTTCTGAAGTTGATGGTCCCGACTATCAGCAATTTCTCTTAAACCGCGGAACTCGATTCGGGCTATATACTTGACCCCCAGAAAATTATTCAACCAACTGAATGCTCATCGCTGCATACTTAGAAAAATGATTTTTAATCTTCCAACTACCGCGCACTGTAACCTAAAACCATTAGTATCGTATAATATTCGCACGATTTATAAATATTTGGCATTAGTATTAAAATACGCTTCAAGATAATGTAATTCAATTATTAATAAGAATTTTGACTTTTTAACATTCTATATTGATTTGTAATGCAAACATTTATTAAATCGAGATCCAGGCGAGCATCGATCTGGTTCTAGTTTAAGTTTCAGTAAGTTAGATTAAGTATTGTAACGTTTTCCCCATTCGACATGTACATTCTTGAGAAAGCAAACAATTCACAATCGCATCGATAAGTTAAATATAGCAGACGTAGTTATAGACACAGTATAGAGTGCACAATCGCATTCAAGAGTCGTAATTGTTTCCTTAATCTAAAACGAGGGGGAATCAGAAAGTGCAAGATCAAGTTTCCCTTGCAGTTATGTATGCAAATGTAGGGTATTAAAGATACATCTCGTACAAGAACTTCTATTTTATAATCGTTTAGCGGTTTAATCCACGAATCTCTGTATAAAAAAACACTGGATTTAAGGTCTTAAAATATACTACGATCTCGATTGTTATGCAACACGAAATATCGATACCAACAATACTGTAAGACACGTAAGTCGTTGACTGCTGTTTCAATAATTCAAAACAGTGTACTGACCATCGTAAGACAACAAGTGCTTGGACGATGAGTCAAGACACTTTTTGTATACCGTGAGGCAGTTATGAAGGACAGAAGATTTCGCTACAGTGATAAAAACTTGTTTCGTAAACGTGGAGAGTTAAAACTGGGCAAACACATAGTAGTAAATAAAGATTATGTAAACTGTTTAATTAAAACTCTTCAAAAGTCGACTGTTCCAAAATGGTTTCAATAACTTTGATCATATTTTAATACTTGAATTTTCTCATTAAAAATATATTCCATAAAATGGCATACAAAAATTAATTATTGTTCTCTACTGAACAATGAATTTTAGTGAAAAATTAAAACATGAGATATTATGGTATCGAACAATAAAGCCTTTGTAACGAACGAAGTTTTTACAAGGGTATTAATGTTGATGAATAATTCTGTAAGATCAGGTGTGATGACAAAGTCCAAAATGACTCATGGAAAATTCGGGATTCAGAGGACAAATATTTACTACGAAAAAAAAACATCTAATCGTATAATAGGGTGTGATAACATGGAACAAAGAAAAACAAAATTTAACACGCTCGAAATGCTATCGTTAAAATATAGAAGGCGAACGACAATTGTTGGGTATTTTCAGACTAAATGAACACAGATGGGTCTTTTTAATGTAAATGAAAAATAACTATAGTTCCAAAAATACATTCTGACAATCGTTGGAGTGTTAATGTACAGTTTAATAGTAACCAATTGTAAAACAATTTTTCTATATTACGTACGCATTAACTTTCCATTTACCTTTCATTACTGAAGCATGCTTTGTATGTCAGTGGGGAATTGAGTGGGAAGTGAACGTAATTACCTATCATTGCATCAAGGCTCGTGCACACCGATGGAAAAACACGTTGAACCGAGTGGAGATGTTAATAACGTTGTCCGAAAGTTCATTCTAGTTACAAAAGTTTTTCCATAGGGGCAGCTGTAAAAATTCTAGTATAGTACAATATAGCTTTATTTCGTTACCCTAGTTGTTAAGTTATTATTTTTGCACTTTGCAAAGAACGTGATCGTATCATAGAAGATTGTTAGGTAACGTAAGAAACTTGGATTTTACAACTAGATTTAGATCAAGATACAAACCTTGACAATCATACAGATGCAATTTAGATATAGGTGTAATTCGGAGAAGCCTAATTTCAGGCCATGAATGGAACCCACATCCAAACTTTGCCCATATGGAAAATTGCTGAACTTCATGACCCATTTTCTCCCAAACTACTCAAGTGATTCCGATGAATTTTAATCCGATTCTACCCATGGCATTAAATAAATTAAATGCACGATTTCTTTTTACGAACCTTTTAGAACAAAATAACTGCCAATACAAAGTTTTCCTGTTTCGTATTCACTTCCTCTGTTCTCAGAATTGCCAGTACAGCGATCAAAAACGGTTCTCCTACGCAATAATTACGTATTCTATCGTTACATTAAGGCTCGTACACACACGCGCGAGTAAACATTGAGCCACGAATCAAACAGAATGACAAATCAAAAAGCGGATGGTCACGAGGCTTCGTAGCAATCCCAACTAAAACAGATTTTCTATTTCCTTCTCGGAACCACAACACTATTGCATCAATGCATGTAATTCCATGCAATTCATACGAGAGATTATCGAATCAAGAATCCCAACAGTACGAACCCACGATTCGATCCCACGGCGACGGAGACGTCTCGAGAGGCGTATAAATTACAAGAAGACGACGGTAAATTCGTTGAACAAACTAAATGACATAATCCACCGGGATTCATCGTTCTACCGTGTAAGGTAAACGGCGTTTTACATCACGACGGTTCTTAAAATCTTTGTTTCCGCGGCGTGCGAGCGCTTAGGCTGTCCGTCGACGATTCGCCACACGTTAACTTCGTATCTCCCACTACCATTCTCCTATCTCCGCAATGGTATCGCGTTCCAGCACAATAGTCCGTTTCCAGTGAGCACTGTTCGCTGTCAGCAGCCGAGTCAGCTGCCAGGAGGAACTCGTTCCAGCGATCGAAATCGATTCAACGATCGATAACGCAGGTAATGCCATCATGAGCGAACACGCCTTGGACGCTGCCAATTGGCTGGACCATCTGATCCCGAAAGTGACCGCGAACCTCGACAACGACTTCGACGATGCACGATACGATCTGTTGTCGCCGGACGACACGTTCTTCGTCTCCAGCATGTGCTTCGTGAAGATCATAGCCAACTCGAGTCGCAAGGACGCGCCGAAAGACAAGTCTCTGAGCGTCGTGGTGAAGAAACCGCCTCAATCGGTCGCTGTCAGAGAGATGTTGTCAGCGGATGCTCAGTTCCACAACGAGATCCTCTTCTACAGAAAGTACGCGATGGACAGCGACGAGTTTCCCCGTTTCATCTACGCGGACGAGAAGCCGCCCACCGACACGGTCCTCGTTCTCGAGAACATCGGTCAGTGGGGTTACAGTCTCTGCCAATGGAGGTACAACGTCCCGGTGGAGTACACCTTGGCGGCGTTCCGCGAGATCGCGCGGTTCCACGCGAAGGGCTACGTGATGAAGCAACGACGCAGAGAAGAGTTTTTCAAATTGGTCGGTGACATTTGGGAGAGCAGGTACGACAAGAACCCTGACAACGGGATGAAGCTGGTGATCAAAGCCACGGCGACCAGGGCGGTGGATTACCTGAGGGACCACGGCCACGACAAGCTCGCCTGCGACAAGCTCGAGGCTTACCTGGACGACGCATACGAGAACATCGTCCTGAAGAGCATCGAGCCCGAGGAGCCTCTCTCCACCCTCTGTCACGGCGATTTCACGCTGAACAACACATTCTTCAAGAGAGAGAACGGTCAGGTCAAGGCCATGTTCATCGACTTCGCGTTGATGAGATACGGCTCGCCCATCATCGACCTGACCACCTTCTTGTGCCTTCACTGCGCGGAGAACCTCGACAAAGAGATGCTGGACACCGTTCTCAGAGCGTATCACGACTCTCTGGAACAGCGTCTCGCGGAGGACGGGATCGAAGACTGTGATAAATTCTCGTACGAATCGCTGCGCGAAGAGTACAAGAGGAAGGGGCTGCTTGGTTTCATTATCGCGTCGTTTTTCCTGGCTCTGCTGATGGGCAAGAGCGACCAGACGCCCGAGGAGTTCGCGGAACTCGACGTGGAGGTCTGGACCAGAATAATGCGCGAGCTGGGCGGGGACGAGATCTCGGAGATCCTGGCCAACTTGCTGCTGAAGATGCAGGAGTTCGGGTGTTTGGATCATGTGATGTAATTCAATGTTAGTATAAACCATTTCTGACGTTTAGTTTGTAGACGTTTGCCGAGATGAGTGGAAATTGTTCGAGAGGCGCGGAGTTTAAACGTGAATATATTTTAAAAGTTTCGGGTTCTCTTTGGTAAAATAAAGTAAAGAATACAAGTTAATATAACGATAAATGTGCCAAAGGAAATTGCGAAAAGCTTTGTTGCTTGTTATATCTTACGAAGAGAATCTGAAGTTTAAAATATATTTGTATTTCTTCTGCACGGGTTCATCGTTCAAAATTGTCGAGTAGAAAATTGCTTAATAAACGCGGGAGTCTCAGAGATTCTCTGTCGATTTAACAACTTTATAGAGGCTTAGTTTCTTCCAAAGAATAAAATATGTTTAAGAATTTATTAAAGATGTTAGAAATGGAGCGTTAAGTTGTATGGAATTGCGTGCCTTGAATTTCATAGATCTATGCGTATTTAACTTTGCGGACTTCTGTGAGCGTACATAAACATAGTCTTACTAGGTCAAACCACAAAACGTCTGTCGTTTCTTTATACGTGGTCCTTTGCGAGTCCTTGGAGCGAGTTTCGCCGAGACGGTTGACATTTTTCTGTTACAAATGAACGTAAGGGACATTCATACTGGCATACTTGCTCGAATTTGATAAAGTAGAGCACGCTACGCTGTCTGTTGCGACTATCGATCAAAATCTACGGCAACGCGCATCTCACGGCTGAGATAACGTTCTGGGAACAGAGAACTTTAATAACGTGGATATTAAAATCGACGTTCTGTTAATAACCGGACTAATTTCCATGGAGGGATAAATCGATAAGTTAATTTAGCGACAGAAAAGGAACCGTACGAGTGGACAGTCTAGCAATTCGTTCGGGAAGGAAATATATTCTGCGATTTTGATTTAATTTTGAACGAAGGATCGCGTTCTGTATGCTGGCCACGATACCACAAAGGGACCATTGCGAAAGTATTTTGAAGAGATTAAATTTCATAATGACCGAAATTATTTTTGTTAACCGTCGCTTCGAACCACAGTCGAATGCGACGAATGTTGTTTGTTTACACCATATTGTGAGAAGATAAAGAATTTTACAAAGTACAAACTTGCGTTGCTTTCTTTCTACGAAATTTTTTATTAATTGCCTGATATAACAGTCTTTAAAAAATAGCCAGGTTTAAGCGAATGATGATTGTGAAACGTGCAATATTGCTTCTTGCTAATAAAGAACGTGTTATCGGTGAAATTGTCGAAACGGGATAGTTGGCCCTCAAAGGACACGCGACGAGCGATGGAAACGCGTGTAACGGCGCGGGTAAAAGGCTTCTATCGCGACCTCGTACATCCCGCAAAATAAAGCTAGCACGGGACGCCGGAACGATGTGCGAAATTATTCTTTCGCCTATGCAAGTACGGATCTGCCTTTCAAATAGAGGTACTCGCCGCGCGGCCAGAAAAACTTTGTCATTTCCATATATTTTACCAGACTGGCAGCAACGTCTCCCGGGAAATTCACTTACGCTCTAACCTGAATTTTAAGCCCGTTAAATTTTTGCTCGCCGCGGCCCCGCGCGCCGGAAAATAGAAAAAAGGAAACGAACGTCGACGACTTACATGGAAATGTTTTCGCGGTCGAAACGGGCCTAACGCACGCGACCTGGCAGAGAATTCCGTTCGACGTGCAACGATGGTAAAAAGGAACGAGAGCAACGACTAGACGCGAGTATGCAACGTTTTATGCAATCAAAATTCAATTCAGGTGCCTGGAAATAACTAAGAAATTAGTTTTTCTTCGGGTCGTCTCTGTCTCTTGAGGCAATATGCTAAACTTTCGTGGCGCTAGATTTCAATAACTTATCTAACTCGAAATAATGAAGTAGAAGAAGTATTCAGAAGATACAAACATATATTGTAACGTGTCATTTAAGACGGAGATGATCTAGAAGTCTTCGAAAACCTTTCGCTTGCAAAAAAATTATCATTGGCGTATTGTATTCTTGATACCGTATAACATTTGTGAAAACTGCCTCCTTGCATATTTAATAGTAACGAAGCCAATAAAAGTAATCAAAATTATCCTGCCCTGTGTATTAATACACTAATCGTTGCAAATACAATCAATAACGAACGCAGTGGAATTTCGTTGAAATATTAAACTGAATATTGCTCGTTTAACGAACATATAATTTACATACACGCTATTGGAATATTAATAAATACGGGTTCGTTGTGGGAATTTCAGATATTTGTATTCAAAAAGGAACCACTGTAGTCGACTCTATGTTTATGAGTTTAACATTCCGCGTCTGCGATCGTAATTTGATTTAAACTGTCACATGCTGGCCGTAATAAAGTGCTTTATATCGTTCGTAGTTGGCAGCGAAACGATTTATTAACATAACGTTTAAAAATTAGCAATCTCCATTTACACCACGAAGAGCATATGTCTAATTAGAAAAACCATTACGTACGTGACGACAGCCAATTGAAGAAATTTTCTTCGGCACTTATTTCATTTCGTAACACGACCTTGTTCCCTACTTACGACCTAATTGTACGCCACGACAAACCGTAGTGTGTGCAATAAAAACTTTCTGTTATCTCAATTAAAACGATATTTGTACGATCGGATGTAATCCTTCGGGTACACGCGATGAACTCGTACATAATACGCTGTTCTATCGTATCGCAAGATACATCAAATGTTTGCATTTCCTGTGATATGTGCCCTACGCATTAATCAATGTTACCCGAACCCACGTACGAAAACTTGCGTAACATTATTAATACCAGCTAAACCATTTTACTCGCAAGTATTTGTTCTTGACAAACGTTCGAATCTATCGAGGTCGTATCGAGAGACGCGGAGGAACTTTTCTTATCACTCGTTGTTAATATTACGAAGCTACGTCTACGTTGATGTCGGTCACTATGGTTGTGTCTTACTTTGTCTCGTCATGCTTCGTTCCCGTCACTCGTCACCGGATTGAATTGTAGTTGCGATCGACTCGGCCAATAATGGCAACACGTGTGAGCGAAGATGTCGCCATTCCGCTACAGCCAATCAATCTACCCAAGCAATGAGTCATCTCTGAACAGTACTGCGTAGAGATCGTAAGTTGTCGGCCACGCACAGGATGACGGGGATGGATCATCACTCGCTTCAGTTAAGCCCTATAGGCGCGGTAACAGCAAATTCGTCGACAACTTTCGATTTATGCACAGTATATACTGCATCTTGGTCGTATCATTAGCTCGACTCTTGCAACAAATTCACCAACCCCTGCCTTAAGGGAGGATTCTTATATAACGAGTGAATAATATTTCTACATTCTTTTTTAAATTAATTTTGATTTATTTATTAATCAATGCAGAATTCTGTTGACCCTCGTAGTATTTGTCGAAATTTTCTCAAAGTAGAATAGTCCACGCGATTATCGATTATATTTTTAAAGTAAAAGCACGCTTTCGTGCACGTAGTTCCGGTGCAATTAATTTTTGAAGAACCATGAATGTTTCAAGTTTCCAACCCGGTGTAAACCCCTGCTATCGAAGAACGCTCCGCAGCTCCCGGCTGCGGTCGAACTTTTCGAACGGTTGAGACGGGTTTAACGATCGTCGACGCGAAACGGGAGGAACGGGGCATGGGAAAGAAGTGTGCGAGTTGAAATCGGCTAAAACGGGCACGAAATCCGGGACGCGCAGGGACACTTTAATCGGGATCCGCAGTTACGAGTTCGAGAGCGAGGATCCCATCCTCGTGGAGTTTTCTAATAGCGTCGGATGTAGTCGAAGGAGCCCGCAGTAGAAATAAAGCGATTCCCGTAAACAGCTACTCGACCATCCCCTACGATGTCTAAGTTTCAACGGAATTAAGGATTCGGTAACTAGATCTAGAGATTGCTGACCGCGGAAAATAAGATTCTGTATAATTTGATGGGATGCACGGAGAGGGGCAGAATTGAATTTAACCTAGTGCCGCGGTCAGATGTTATCATCTCTGTACAAACGTCGCCGAATTAATACAATTTCTTGGCGAAATCGAAAAAGTTTTAATTAGGTGGGTCCATTTTCAGCTTGGAAGTCCCTCGAGTAATTTCGATTTCTGACTTCGGTGCAAGAAATTAATAATTAAGTTTCTCTTCAACCGTCGATGACCATATTTTCCAATGACTTTTGTTCTCGTATTATTCATACAATTTGTTGGTTTATTAGAGGTTCAAATATTAGGAATAATACATCGTGCACGATCGAAGGATATTCCCTCGGGTCAATAAATATATCAATCTGTCCGTTTACGTTCGTCGCGCAAATAAGGGCACGAAACACGCGACGAATTCATCTTCGCGTTTATTTAAAGGGAGAACAACGCTAGCTCAGTCATCCAATTCCGTTGCCTCGCTTTACGGGCCCAGACGTGTGTATCCTGCAAATTTATACTCGTATTCTCACCTAGCAGCAGTCGAATCTTCGATTTTCACGGGCTAAAATATTCATCGACACGGTGTCAGTGACAGGCTTCGTAACCGGGTCACAAAGGTCTCGTCGACGATGGAGCGTCGATTCATTCTGATAATGAAAGGCGTAGGTTCGATCGGTCAAATAAATCCATCCGGCGTGTATCCCGAAAAGGAGTGTCCCGCGGGAATTTCATCGTGGTTTACCGCCGACGCACATTTGTCTCCACCAGAAACTGTATCTGGGTCTCCAGCGTTTGATTTACCCTTACAGCCTGAGACTAGCCTTAAACCGAGTTTCCCAAACCTCGCCTTTACACGTCCTCCAATATAAAAATATTTCTGTCAGACCTCACAAAATAGAATTACATTTTAATACCTTAAATATTATTATTATTCATTTATTAACGGGTATTAACCCCTTTAGTACAACGATGTAATATGTGAGGGACTACAGATGTGGATTTTACATAGTCAAACATTATCGCTTAGTGAATGTAACAAAAATAAATTAATTTACAATATGTTGCAAGGATAATTTTAGACTTTCT